TCAGCTTTAGCAGCTCAGCTTTAGCAGCTCAGCTTTAGCACAGCAGCTTTAGCAGCTCAGCTTTTGCAGCTGAGCTTTAGCATCTCAGCTTTAGCAGCTCAGCTTTAGCAGCTCAGCTTTAGCACAGCAGCTTTTATGGGGTCCTGATGAAGAGTTTCTCCTTCACATAACAGGAGGAAGGTCCCTCCATCCAGACCAGCTGGAGACTTGCCATGTCGGAGCAGGAGCAGGTCTCCATGCTGGTCTATGACCATTAAGCTAAGCAATGAGTTTAATTCCTGTCTTCCTCCTGCAGGCCCACAGGACCATTCCGGCACCTTGAAGAGCCTGTTCTGCTCCAGTCCAGACATAGAAGCTCTAGAGGTGAGATAACACTCATGCTGTGTTCCCACACAGTCTCTCTCTCACTTACAGTCCCCCCCCACATACACACACTCCTAATCTCAGCTCTACTGCGTCTGCAGCCTCCTGTTAACAGACTGTTTCTCTAGGCTGAGTTTCTGTCACCATGGAGACCAGATGTTTCCATCTGTACTCATGTCTTCTCAAAGTCAAGCTGACATTTAGGTTGTTAACTCTGTATGCTTGTCCTCCGTCACCCTGGAAGAAAAACAACAACTTGGAGAGTCCCGTGTCTCCTGAGCAAAGGAGGCCGTCCAAACGGGTCCGGATATCCGTCGTGGTAAGAGCCACCGAACCGGGCTCCCAGCATGCCTGGAACCGCTCGCTGCACCGACCGACCGACCGAGCAGCCGCCAAACAGCCATTCCATTTCAGCGCCGATGGGCCGCCATCTGGGCTGAGCTCAGCCGACGCTGCCCCATCGAGTTTAGATCATTCTGTCTGATCATACCTGTAACCTGACCTCTGACCTTCACTGCTTTAACTGTTCACCTGATCCATCCAGTTTAACCAGTTACCATCGGCCTGTTGGTCAGGAACCATCACACTGACAAACACTTGACCAATAAGAGACCACCAACATCGTGTTAGACGCACAGAAGTTGGAGGCATTTTGTTTTTCATCTTGGAAGGTGAACTGCACTAAAAATGAGAAAAAAAAGATTCCTTCATTTAAAATGTTTTGGCACATTTTAAGATTGTTTTTCATGATTTTATAAACATTTTATATTTCAGTCATATTTTACCAACATTTATTAAAAGCATTGCTCATATTTAAGTTAATTGATCTTCATTTCTGCATAACGACGCTTCAGCATCACCGCTGCTTCGCTTCACAGAAACATCCCCACAAAAAATATGAAGCTTTTCAAAACAAACACCTAAACAGCTGAGCTAAGAGCTTTATGGAGCCATTTTGGCTGATTGAAAGCCGTGTTTAAAATCTGCTGAGACGTTCTGAGCCGTGAAAAATAAAAGCCTCCATCTTTTAAGGTCGGTTCAGCTGAACCAGAGGAAACGTGGCGCAGTTCTGGTCAAGTGTTTCTCATCATGTCCAGCATGCAGCCGTTCATGGAGCGGGTCACCCGAGGTGTCCAATCAGTGACTGCCTCCCAGAGCAGGCCCCGCCCTGTTTCTGGAGTGACCCCCCCCCAGAAATCTGTGGTGACTGAAAATGTGCCGCCCATGTCGCTCCCTGATCCGTACCATCAGCTCGTTTATGCAAACAGATTTTATCCCGGTCGCCATGACGTCACTATAGTCCTAACATTCATTATTTCTACCCTTTACTCTCTAAAGAATGCTAGTACGCATCTTTAAAACACGTTTTCTGACTTTTTAGAGACAATTTTGATGCTTTTTCCATTTTCTCCATTAAACATCATCATGTTGATCAGAGCAGTAAATCTGATTAAACCACGTTTATCTGCATTTAGTCGTTTCTTTCTTTAGATTAGGCCTATATAGCATAACGTTAGCACGAAAGGAAAACATAAAACTCAGACTAGATTTATGTCTAAATCCAGGCTGATCAAGTTAGCTCCTGGAAGTAGCGTAGCATCCATTTCCTGTGCAGATCAGGAACAGAGGATAAAACAGAAATTATTTTAATGCATTTATTTTCTCAGGATTATTAACCTTTAACACATATTTTATGACGCTGACTAGTTTTAGGGAAGGAAAACCGTCATTCACTGTGAAATGAAGGCGACCCGGATGTTTACCTGGTTGGTAGCTGATGGGACGGATCCGGCAGAGACACTGATTGAACAGAGGCGGCCATGTTGGGTCCCGTCCTGCCGTGCATGTAGCTTTCCATCACAGCAGGGATGTTCACCATGATCTGGGCCGCTTCAAATCAAATGACCTTCCCCCTGCAAAGCGTCCCATTCTGGGATCGGCGGCGTCGTGCGACGACCGGAGCGCCGAGCTGAAATGATTCCACCTGATCAGTGGGCTTTGCATGAATGTCTGCTAAATTCATGGCCTGGAATCCAGCAGGGTTTCTCTGCACGTAGCGCCTGAAGGCGTCCACAGGTCCTGCTGCTCAGCATCTCATGTCCTCTCGTTCACCAGGAGCCCCCCCCCAGCCTGAAGGGTTTCCTCTTGGTGAGCACACTTCCTTCTCCTGTTTGGGTCCAGTGTTGAAGCAGAGGCAGGTTGTTTACAGTGGGGGGGGGGTCTGGCCGCTCTTTTACAGGTTTTTCTGTTTTTGCTTCATAAACTCAGTAACTTTACTCTCCTACCTGACCAGAGGTATGATATCCACCAATAAGCACCCTGGCGAAGCTCACCACCGTTTCAGGTCCTGCCGCTCCCTGATTGGTTCCTTTATGTCTTTGTCCTTCCTGCTCCGTCACCAGCCCCTCCCCTCCCTAAGTAGTGATGCAGGAGCCGGATGCAGACGGACGCTGCCTCCTTCCTCGCTCCTCCCATTATTCTCCTGCTTCCCTGATAAGTTATTTAGAATCAACTCTGGGCTTTTATTTTTGTTTTTGTTCATTTTTCCTTTTTCTGACACTTCACAACTTTCAACATCCGTCTTTGTGTTGAGTTTGCGTGAATTATTGGTGAATATATCAGCTCTTTTTTCTTGTTGAAGTCAAGAATTAATGAAGCTTTGAAACAGACCTCTGTACCACAGCAGCAGTGGAGCAGGGGGGCAGGGTGCAGGGGGGCAGCAGAGCAGGGGGGCATTAGAGCAGGAGGGCAGCAGAGCAGGGGGTAAGGGTGCAGTGGGGCAGCAGAGCAGGGGGGCAACGGAGCAGGGAGGCAGTGGAGAAGGGGGGTAGGGTGCAGTGGAGAAGGGGGGTAGGGTGCAGTGGAGCAGGGGGGCAACGGAGCAGGGGGGCAGTGGAGAAGGGGAGCAGGGGGGCAGTGGTGTGACCCATGTATGGAGGCTCTGGTCCTCAATGTGGCGGTCACAGGTTCCAGCCTGGCGTGGTGACCTTTGCCCCCTGTCTCACCCCTTTGCTGCTCACCCTAAACCCTAAAGGAGCCTCTCTGAGTCAGGGCGCCCTGTGGCAGCAGGATGGTGGAACCATCAGAGCAGCCTGTGAATCCAGTTCAGGGCTCCTGCACCTTCATTCCTCTCAGCTGGTTCCTCTGCAGAGCCGCTTTAACAGGAACTCATTCCAGCTGATAAGGAGAACAATCAGAGCCACTGGAGTCGTTTCAGATAAAGAGAGAGGAGGAGAAAGAGGAGGAATTCTAGATCTTCTTCATGTAGAACCTTCATCTCTTCCATCCCCCCTTCTAAAACCTGCTGTAGGTTTTGACCTGCTGTGGTTCAAACAATGACAGACTCATCTCATAATCATCCGTTACCATGCCAACCCATACATGACATCCCCCGCCGTCTCAGTTGTCCTCTAACGGCTCCTTCAGTCCCTCATCCAGTCCTGCCGGAGTTTTCTGGAGCAGCTTAGTCCAGATGTTCAGCTGTAGATGGTAGAGATGTTCCAGAACATCGGTTCCTCTGAGATTTACCTTCTGCTGTTTCTAATCCACAGGAAGATGGAGACGTGGAAGACGACATGACGCTTAGAGAGGTAAGCCCCGCCTTTGATACGTCCCACCAATAGGAGCGCATGCTCATTATGATGCAATCATGGTAATGATTTAGGATCTTCAGGGTCTGCAGAGCTGAGCTCTGGGGGCCCCTCTGAGGGAACTCCTTCCATACTGTCGGAGAGGAGCGGTCCGAGCCACAGGCTCGGCGGGGGCCGGGGCTCCCGGGCTGGGCGGGGGCCGGGGCTCCCGGGTTCGGCGGGGGTCGGGGCTCCCGGGCTTGGCTCAGACCACGCCGAGCCTGCGGCTCGGACCGCTCCGCAGCTGTTTGATCACAGTTCAGTTCACTGCATAGATCGAGATCAATCAGATCATCCCTCAACTTAAAGGGCGACTCTACATCCACTTCCTGTCTCACTATAGTCCCCTTTGATTTAATGATGGGATCTTTGGAAAGTTTGATGCTTTAGTCATGGAGACCTCATCTGCTACCAGACGCTGAACAAACTTCACTTCCTGTTTTCTACGTTTCTCACTAACCGCTTTCATGTCGGGTAGTTTAGTTGTTTTAGTTAACTGAGACCAAACTAACTCTCCTTCTGCTCAACATTTCTGTTTTTATTCACTACCTTCTAATCTGTGTGGTTTGCAGATCGCAGAGTGGGAGGAGAAACAACTCGATGAGCAGGTGGACTTCAGCACCTGCAAGATTGACCCCGCCCCTTTCCAGCTGGTGGAGCGCACGTCGCTGCATAAGGTCTGTTTGGAGCTGAAGCTACAGACGTCTTCCTCATGTTGCTTTCTCAGGTGGAGGCAGAAGGACGGATGGTTTTCCTCATGGAGATCTTTAAATGATGCTGTGCATTCAGGGGTCAGAATGGCCTAGTCAAAGTCCAAGACTTTATCAAACAGAGTCAATGTTCAGATATTCTCCATCCAGAGCAGCTAGAAGTGTTTCTATTAAAGTTTTTAATATTTCTCTTCTTTCCATCTTCCATGAACAATCAGCCTCCACCTGCTCCACCTGATATCATTTATTCTCTTCAGGCTGTTTAAAGGAGGCTAAAGGAGGCTCCTGTTGGAAGGAAGAGCCTCTCTGGGGTGGAGTGTCTCACTCCTCTCCTCCTGCTTGCTCCTCCTGCAGGAGGAGCAAGCAGGAGGAGAGGAGGAGTGAGAGCAGCAGATGAGGAAGTAGTTGAACATTCAGTCCAGCTGCACCTGAAATATTTTACAGATTTAATGTGAAGAAAACCTCGGTGAGGCCTTTTCCTCCCAGCATCATGTGACTGGATCCAGTAATAATAATAATCAGTCTGATGATGATGATGAGAAGGAGGCGGAGCTTCATCAGACGAACATTCAGCCTCACGGCGTTCTTCTTCTGTAGCTCCTGTGGTGTTTTTCATTAAGCTCTGGTTCAGCCCCAAACCGCCCCCTCCTCCCCCAGACTAGCTGGTTGTTAGCAGGTTAGTAGCTGGTCGCTAGCCGGATGCTAGCCGGATGCTAGCCAGATGCTAGCAGCTTTGGTTTGGACTTAATGGAATCAGATCTGGAACCTTCTCTCCACCCACTGATGGTTGAGGTGGGAACCAACTTAGCAGACAAACTTTCTGCGTGAATCTTCTGACTAGCAGCAAAGTGTTTCAGCCAGCTGAGCATCAGTGCAGAGCAGCTGCAGCAGCGTTGTCTGGGTCACCTCCTTCATGCATCAGTTTGCTGCTAACCGCCTCTGAGCAGCAGAACGTTCTGAATGTTTCCCAGCGGCGTAAATACGAACCTCAGACGTCTCTAACAGGCGCCTTGCTTCCAGGACTCAGATGCTCCCTCTGGTGGCTGCTAAGCTAGCGGAGCATGGCTAACTTCTGCTAAAGAAGATGCTAACTCTGTGTTTCCCTCCTTGTAGACTCACACCATCTTCTCCTTGCTGGGCCTTGACCACGCCTATGTCACCAGCATCGGGCGCCTCATCGGGGTGGTTTCCCTGAAGGAGGTAGGGCTCCTCTCTGCTCTCATTATGCTGCATTTCATGGTTGATCATTAGAATCTATTCCTGCTCATGTCTGTGGGTCGTGCAGCGCTGCAGCAGCCCCTCCTCTAGTCATTGTAAACGCTTTGGTCAATGGTGCCTCCATGGTCA